CCTTCGAGAATTGAAAGATGAATGGCCGTTTTTCAGCGCTGGCGCAGTGAAAAACCGACGCGGCAATTTTTCATCCGCGATTTTCGAAACCCGCCTGCTCTTTTTTGTTTTTGTTGTTCGCGTGCCCGGAGAGAAGTGGAAATTCTGGAGCTGGTTAAGCTTTTTAGTAAAAAGTTTCCAGCGACGAACTACCTGTCTCTCTTTAACATCCGTAATTACTGAGACGAAGATCTGTATTAATTGATTAGATCATTTTTTAGCATATCTGGTGTATATTAGAATTAAAAGGTTGATTATTACGGTTGTCTATTATCCCTTTGCACTCGAAGTTTTTTTCCATTCACATTACTAGTAATCGGAAGCAATTTCAGTGGAAAGATCGTATTCACATATAAGTAAATGATATGCGCATTAAAAGAAAAATTCATTGTTGTATGTTATTGTTTTTTCGAGCCGCGACTGCCTTTTGTCACCAAGAGCGGAATATCCTATACACAATAGTTTTTACGATTTGCCTTTGTCCTTTGTTATGAACTGAAAATTATTTGCATAATAATATCTCTATTTTAGAAACGTAAAATATTAATAGAACATTTCCGTACTCAATATTTTAATTTCCTTTTCCTATTCGTATTTAAAATAGAGACGCATATAGTTTTATTAAATTATCTTCTGCTCTCTACTGTGCAGATTAGAATTAAACATAGATTTACGAATCTAAATAGTAAGTTAAGATATTCGACCGTTAAAAAAGAGTTCCATCGGTAGCTGATATTCCGCGATTAATCAAACGGCAGAGCAACGCGTAACAAATTCACCGTTAGTCGCACAGAACCGGCAGAATTCAAGCGCAAACAATATCGAATTACACGACTCAAAGACGACAGTATCGAATCACGTAGTAACTCAAAAGTGAAGTTGACTTCCGCAACTTCGCCGGCAATCGGGATCGAATTATCGGGCCCGAAGCGTTACACGCAGAATTTCACGGTTCCAAAGGTGCCGGGTATCGAATTGCACGTCTCCGAAGCGTGTCGAATTACAAGACTCATCTGGTTACCGGTGTCGAATTACACGAGTCACGAATTACGGATATCGAATGACAGAATTCAAGAACCTCTCCCGCCGAATTACGGGACTCAAGAGTCATCAATAGAGGCAGCGCGCGTTAATGCACATTTCAATCTTCCCGATCCGATTCACGGGAAATCGATCTAACGCTAATTAACCGAGCCCCATCGCCCGGATTTCAAATGAAACAGAGCCGAACGGTTCGCCGAAAGTTCGAAATAGGATTCGAGCGGGACGCGTTTCCGCTCGATATCGCCGGCATTCGCGCGATCGGGTGCATTATGAATGCATAAAATCAGCATAAATATTAGATCGCGCGGTATCGAAGTCTCGCTGCGATCGTATATCCTCTCCTCCCGCGTCATTCGAGGCCGGAAAGGGAATAGCCGAAGGTACCGTGACGCTAATCCTCCGTCGAAAATTACAACTCCTGCGCGTGTCAAGCGTATTTCGTTCGCCGGATGGAATTAAAAATGATCATCGATCGGAGCGTCGCTCGCGCGGATGGAATTTTCGAATGTAACGGCCGGATGCGGGTAATCCGGCGAAAGGGTTGCGCGCGAGCGCGATGACAGCGGCGATACCCGGCGCGTCGCAGTCAAAGCAGCTTTGCCAATTTCCGCTCGGAGGCTTCAAGGGAAAACCCGGCCGCCGTGCATCACGGTTGCCGTTTGAAACGCAGGAATCGCGGTCCGCCGCTGGCCGAAGATTCCCGCGAGCGATTTTTCGAAGCGCCGCGCGTCGTATCGGCCCCGACGATTTCCGCGGCAAAACAATTTCCGCCGAGCCGGGGCATCGCCGCGACGCATAACTGTTACGCTATCAAAGGAGAATGGCGCGCTGAGAATTTCCGGGTTCATAGTTAACCTACTGCGTGTGCACACCCGGCGCACCCCCTCCACGTGCTGCCGGCGAATCTTTGGAATTGTTCGCGTGGCAAAAGCCATTGGTCTACCGATGTTGTTACGGGAATAATTCATGATCGGCTGACGGTTCTTCCGAGGATTTTTGGGGAAATTGTTCGTATCGCTTTGGCGGGACTTATGGAATTCTTATCGGTTCTAGTGTTTGTAATACTGTGAATGCTCGAGGTTAATGAATTACTGAAGTTTTATTGTAATATATTGTTGCGTAATATATAATGTATGTTAATGTATACTGTTTAGATCTTTAGGTACGAATGATCGTTGATACAACTTTGGAAGTGTCATATTTAATTTTGTAACAAAGGATTTATGATTTTCATCTTACATCCTTTAACAGAACTACCAAATGAGTCAGAACGAATTTCGTGTCACTTGTGTAATTATGGAAAACAGGCGATCTTCTGAGAAATTATTCAATAAATTGATTTAGGTAAATGCAAACTGGAATATAAGGAAATACACTCAATGAATGTATCTTTATACATTTTATAAGGAAATACAGAATAATTCATTTCACTGCTCGGTTCTAGTGTTAATATTGAATATTAAATCGACGAATAATTGATTTCAATGAAATTATTATATTTGACTGACGCAGTTAGCAGAGCTTGATCAAATGAATAAAAAATAGAGTATAATAATAACGGATCTGATTAGATCTTAGCTTTTATTGAGAATAAATATTAAATTCAGTAGAAAACCAACGAGTCACGAATCGGGACAGTGAATACGTAATCCGAACAGTTTCAATTCAGATACGAAGCTTAATCTCACGCACACAC